TATATATATACATACATACATACATACATACATATATATTATGCTCTCTAGGATTGTATCCGATGGCGAGAAGGTACTCTAATTGTAACACGTCCGAGGGGGTGTGCATCCTTTCCTATTCCACTCCCTTGCTGCCGCTTAACTCCTCCGTACCTTCCCTGCCTGCAATTGCACCACTTAGACACTCTTGTCCTGCTGCCTAACTCCCTCGTACCTTATCTGCTCATTGTATCCCATGTCCAGCCGCAGCCTTCGCAGCGACACTTATCTGTGTCGTCTCCCCTCCAACAACCAACTTCCAACCACTGTCTGCTCTCAGCCCTTACCTCTTCAACTGGCCCCCATCTTCCCCTATCCCTTTACCCGTTTCCCCATACCTTCCAGACGCCTCCTCCCTCTCACTTAACCCCTCCCTACCCGCATTGACCTACTCATCCCGATACCCTCCCACCTCACTGTTGCTTGTCGTCCACAACCCCAAGTAATCTCATTGTCATTTTAACTATTGTCCTACTTCACCTTATCAGGATATTTGTGTTGTTGTGGTTTCTTTCCTGTTTTGAGTCGTGAATGTATCCCGATTATTTTTTAGTAATAATATACGCAGAGTTTGCCTACCTTTAGTCATGTTCAAGGGTTTCCTTGCATTCGTCTCAACCCACCAACAAAAATTTTCTATCCTATTTCTAAACTATAGTCAAATTTTGACCTAACTCTAAATTCCCCTTGTTCTTTTTAAAATCAAGAACCTTAAATCAATTTTTCACACCCACATTCACTTCCCAACTTTAAACCCTAGCCACCAAAGACATACATGCATGAGCATACTCAGGAAGAGATACAGTGTGAGAGCTGCTGACTTTAGAGGAGACTTGCAGACATTGAGGATGACACTCAGGGGGGACTTATCCTTGATGGTGACAGGGAAAGGCGAATAGGCGAAATGGATGAGAATTTCAACCACTTCCATAAAGAGTATTTCTGTGATTAAGAAGAAAGGCCACGTTTTTTTCAAAATTTAGTATTAGAGGAGGCCTAAAGAGCAGACATTATTTGGAGAACACAGAGACTTCGAAATGAATGTGGATCTACTAGATTTTGATGATGGTATGAATCCAAATGATTTTATCTAATGACTACAATGAGTTAAAAGGATCCTTGAGTACAAAGAGGTGGCAGAAAATACAAGAGTGAAGCTTGCAACTATCAAATTGAGAAAGAGCGTCTCCTTCTAGTGGGACAACTTGCAAAGGTAGAGGAAAAGAAAAGACAGTGATAAGATTTTCAAGTGAGAAAATATGAAGAAAGCGATGTAAAGGAAATACCTCCCACCACACTGCCACCAGGATATGTTTATGAGACTCCATCACTTGTAGTAGAGACCTATCAGTGCTGGAGTTTACGATTCAGTTTCATCAATTGCAGATGTAGAGTGATTTGGTCGAGTAAGAGGAACACACCATAGGATGTTATCAAGAAGGGTGGGGGGGGTGAGCTGAAGATTGCTATTAGTAATGGCGTGCAGCTATAGCCTTATTGGTCACTAGGGGATATCTAGATCTTAGCATTGAAATCGGAAAGACATCAGAAACAGAGCACGCAACTACAATTAGTCAAACAACCACCCACAATTGGAGACATCAGCAATAGCACGTCTCTGGGAGTTGGGAAAACTGGTTCGGACCTAAAACCTTAGAAGAGTGACAAGCCTACTATGGTCCCCGCCAAAAAAATGCTTCGCATGCGATAGGTTTTGGCACATTGCCTCTAATTGCTCAACTAGTCGAGTTGTGTCTTTCACTAAGAAGGACGCCATGGAGGAGGTCAGCGACGAGGAGACATATGAGGAACAAGATGAGGTGTATCATCTTTCACCGGGTGAAGGAGAGGCGTTTGTGGTTCGATGGGTCCTATAGAACAAGAATGCGAGGGATTAGCCGTGGTTTTGTCACAATATATTCTACATCTGTTGCACAATAAACTAGAAAGCATACAGTCTCACAACTACCATTTGTCAAACAACCACCCACAGTTGGAGACATTAGCAACAGCATGTCTGTGGGAGTTGGGAAAACTGGTTCGGACCTAAAACTTGAGAAGAGTGACAAGCCTACTACGGCCCCGCCAAAAAAATGCTTGGCATGTGATAGGTTTTGACGCATTGCCTCTATTTGCCCAACTAGACGAGTTGTGTCTTTCACTAAGAAGGATGTCGTGGAGGAGGTCAGCTACGAGGAGACATATGAGGAACAAGATGAGGTGTATCATCTTTCACAGGATGAAGGAGAGGCGCTTGTTGTTCGTCCTATAGACCAAAAATATGATCGATTAGTCGTGGCTTTGACACAATATTTCCACATCCATTGCACAGTGAACGGGAAAGCATACAATCTCATCATCGATAGATAGAGAAATAAGAACGCTACATCTGCATAGAAGGTAGAGAAGTTGAGCCTCATGGCTCAAAGATACTCTCAACCATATTCTCTGACGTGGTCGAAGAAGGAAAACATGGTCATCATTGACTGCGAAAGTGTCTAGTGGAGTTTTCGATTGATAGCTAGTTGCAGGATAAGTTGTGATGTGATGTGGTCCCCATGGATGCCTGCTATTTTTTGTTGGGGGGATCTTGGCAATTTTAAAGTAGTACTTAGCACGATGGATTCAGAAACACCTACTCCTTCACCAAGGAAGAGAAACACATTGTCAGGTGTTATTCCACTTTATGTTAAATAATTTTTTTGGGTAAGTAAATGTTACGATTGCGCTAAATGATGTTTCTCCTTTTTGTTTGAAGCTCTAACACGATTTGCGAAATTTTGATAGTAGTCAAATTTATAGGATTTAGGGCTTTCACTAGTTCAGTGTTACCACTTTTTTCTCATAGTTTTCTTCTTCTTCTTACTTTCATCAATGTCATCCCTCAATGAGCTCCTTTCTCGATTTCCTTACCTCTTATTTTTTGTTGATGCCTTGACCATTTTGAGAAATTTGGGAAAGATGCAATGAGAGATGGTGAGGTTTGATGAATTTTGAGTGCTACGTTAAGTTAATTATTGTATTTTATTTTTTTTTTAATAAACTTTGACGATTGCTTGAGTTATTAATAGTGTTGGTTGTGTTCTATTTTAATTGGTAAAAATATTAAAATTTGTTATTTATGTCCTATATTGAATCTTATCCACATCAAATTTTTATTTTAACAATCAAAACTAATATTATTAAATAAAAGATTTAAAAATGTATATTCTAACTAATTAATATAATTATGATATTTATATTAGTTAGATGGACAAGTATTCAAATACTTAGAAAAAAAATATGTGATTAAATAACTGATTAACAATTGATTCTAAAGTTTTATTGATAATAAATTTTAATTGGGTCATTCGCTTAATCTTAAAAGTTTATAATAGTTTAATAAATCAATAAGTAACAAAATAGTTTGCAACTGATTCACATGCTATATCATGATTTTAATTTTAATGAATACAACTCATACCTCATTATATACTTATTAATTAATAATTTATAAATAAGTTAATCATCAGTAAAAATTTTAAATTAATAAATTTCTACTCATCTTTATGTTTTTTTATGTTCAACTTAAGATGTTGATTATATTTGATTAGATTAAAATTATTATATAGTTTATCTTTTAACGTTTGGTATATCACCTTTTTTTAGTCTTTGATTGAATGATATATTAATCTTCTGAGTGCCTATGCGAGCCGCTATCTCAAAATAATACCCATGCGTTGTTCGCAATTCTTGCCATAAAAAACACCATCTTAACGCCACTAACATGAAGGCGCTATAGGCTGATATGGGGAGCAAGGCACTTCGATGCATTTGCGACCACTATTATTGGTTGCAACTTGCAACTACTAGGGGCGGAATTGGCCTCTTTTTTTAGGGGGCCAATCTGTCCCTCTAGATCCATCGTGAGAGGGGCTAGGGCAATAAAGAGCAAGTAATATTTCAAAAGGGGCAAAATGTCAAATTGCTCTCCCATATAATCAAAAGTCTGAATTTGAGGGGAGCAATTGCTCCCTCTGGATCCTACCTGGTCCACCCCTTGTCTATAACTTTGTCCAAACTTTCCTGATTTACAAAGTCATGAAATGTGAACCATTAGCCACAACTGGCTCACTCCATCCATCACTTTCAAACATTTGCAAACATTTCTCAAATTGCTAATTATCTCGTGTCATCAATTCATAGCATAACAGAAATCTTATCAGGAGCTGTTAGCATACTTCTTTCCTTCTAAAGGTGACTTCTATAACTGTTAACAACCTTTTACCCCTAACATCTGGTTTGTCTTATCCGAGTGAGCTTTTGTGGCGGACAATTTATACGTAAAACTCATTTTCATAATGTTGTGTTAATATAGTGGTAATAATATATTGATCATATTTATGTTGCAGGAGAGGTGGCTCAGGCAGGTGGAAGAACTTCAGGCTCAATGTGAAAAGGGTCTGAAGTATGTCAGCATCAATGGGCTTTCAAATTTGGATTCAATCGAGGATGCCAGGTAACTTTAATATTCTATGTTCTAGTTTCAGAAAGCTTCTTCCCATCTGTCTTATTTACTCTCCAGTGCGAATTTCCTTATATCTATGTATAGATGTGAAAATTTTGCCTTTAAAATTTACCCTTCAAAAGTTATAATTATGGCAACTTTATCCTTATTTATTTATTTATTTATTATTTTTTTCTATTTTTTGAAACAACATGGAACCAAAATGAATCAACATCTAGAACAAGTTTAATGATGTGTGCCATGGTTTATGTATGATTCATAGTAATTGAAATATTCTTAGATAAAATTGTCTTGTTTGACAGAATAAAATCAATTGGTTTTTATTTTCTACGTTCTTGAAATTATTAGTTCTTTTTATATGCAAAATTAAATTAAATCTTCTTTGTTTAAACTTTTTTTTAGAAAATTCTCAATTTGATAGTTATTATTAATCTAATTTATTGTAAATAATATTGGTCTTTTGTTGTTATTAGTAACACTAAATTATATTTATATTTTATATGCCAAAATAAAAATCTCTTGTATATATAAGATCTGTAGCTAAATTGCTGAAAAGCTGTATGATAATAATATCAAAAGGAAACTAATACAATATTGTGTGATTGACCACAATTCATCGTAATTGAGGAAATATTAATTTAGAAAAAAGTTTACGATAAGGTTCCATGAGAAATTCTCTGGAGAGGTCATGTTGATGTGACTTATTCAAGTCATTAAAGATACGTATGCGAGAGTTGTTACATGTGTTCGGACAGGAAGAGGATTGACAAGTATTTTCCTCTATCATTTGGATTACATCATGATCGGCTTTAAGCCGATCTTTTTTTAGTTTTGGATGCTCTTACTAGGCATTTATTAAAAGATTTACCTTGATGTATGATTTTCGTTGATGATATCCTTCTTGTGGATAAGACTCGAGAAAGAGTTTAGGACAAACTTGAATTTAGGAGGTCCACATTAGAGTCTAAAAGCCTTCATTTGAGTAGGGCTGTCAATTTGGCTCGTTGTTCATGAACAACTCGTGTTCGGCTCGTTAAAAAAACGAGTCGAACACGAAAACACCTACTCGAGTTCGACTCGTTCTTAAGCTTAATTAGCCGAACATGAACAAATTTTTAAGTTTGAAATATAAACGAGCCGAACACAAACAAACATTTGTTCGCTCGTGTTCTGCTCGAATTGGCTCGAAAATAAATAAATAAATAAATGCACACACATATAACACATGTTCATAAAATTAAATATTATAAGTTGTAGTTAATTAAAACTTTTTAAAATAAAAAAAAAATGTATCAAATTTTAAAAAATTAAATTTTATAAATTATAATATATAACAAATTATTAATAAATATTACTTATATAAATCATATATATGTATATAATATAAGTTATATAATTAATATAATATAATATATAAGTATATAACTAAAAAACACTAAGCACCCTAAACCCCGACCTCCATTCCCCTCTCGAATGTTCTCGGGTTTGGCTACCTCTCTCTTTTCTGAGTCTTCTCCTTTCTCTCAAAATCGCGAAAGGCTTTCGCCTGCGAGAGCTTAGGCTTTGTTGTTTGTGTTCGCTGCTCTCGAAAGTTCTCTTTCGGCTCTCTTCCTCTTCCAAGTCATCTTTTTCTCCTCTCAAAATTGAGAAAGGGTTTCGGCGAGAGCTTAGGGTTTGTTGTTTGTGTTTGTTTTCCTCTTTCTCTTCTAAGTCATCTTTTGAAGGCTTAGGACTCTCTTCCTCTTTCGAGTCATCTTCGTCTCCACTTTCGAGCCGAATTCGAGCCGAACACGAACACACCATTTACGAGTCATTTTGAACACGAACCAATATCGAATGAGCCAAACACGAGCCGACCCTGAGCTCGCTTAATCTATTAGAATTAAATGAAAATATGACACTCAATAGGAAACAATTGAGAAAAATGATTCATGTAGCTGACACCTCTTAAGGGGATAAAAGCTTGGTTGTTATTATTGTTATTGTTGTTGTTGTTTTATATTAAATAATAATCATATTTTTATGTTATTAACAGAGATATATATTAATTATTTAACACATACAATTCAAAATGCAAAATAAAAATTGTCATACGATATATATATATATATATATATATCCCAAAAGCTAATATATTAAATAACAAGTAGGATAAGATAGATTTTGTGGAAGGTCTTAAATATGCACCCAACCCACACAAAAAAGGAGAAAAATACAACAAAAAACATAAGAGATCAAAAAGTGCCAAAATAAGAGTATCAGGTATCTGGAGAGCAACCCGATTTTGCCTTGCCTTTGCCTCTAGTTCTAGGGAAGGAGTCAGCTAATAAATTGGTTAGATGAGTGTCATTGTCAGTAGTAACCAATGTATCATCTAATAACCAATGTATCAATGTATCATCTAATAGATTCCCTAGCTCGAGTCGTCCTTTGTTCTTTTTCTTCCTTCTCGTGTAGACCTGTTATTCTTCATCCGAAGATTGGCTGACCTGATCAGCAGAATGGTCTGAAGTGTGCAAGACATATGTAGGTTGTTGAACATTAGAAAAAACTACTTGTTGTACCAGCTAATCTTCTATCGCGTCAAAGGAGTACTCTCATTTGTCTTGGCATGTAAGTGGGTCTTCTTAAATAACAATAAGTGATATCAACACATTTGGATTTGTTCCTGTAGTAAGATGTTCTTCACATGGAACTGCGATGTTGGAAAGATGATCGGATTGGACCTTCTCAACAAGTATGGTAGGTGGCTGATCTTTAGTGATATTTGGCTTTATATGAGGATGCAAACAATAACAAATAATAGAACTATGACCAAACATACTATAATGAGAGCAATGAGAATGTGGTTCTATTTCCACCTTTTGCCAATACCCGTTGTGAATAGTGTCAATCCATATCTCGTTCGGAGCTGGTTGAGTGATATCTTTCTCAACTAAAACACAAGCCACAGAGGGTCTGATGACAGCAAGCGCAGGACTATCCACCTTAAGAGGCTTACCGTAAGCAGTTGCTAAAGAGTAGAGGATTTTCATGTTGAACAGATGTAATTTTAACCCCAGAAATTTTATCCAAACTGGAATGATAGTGAATGATAGCAAACTGGAATGATAGTGGGCTCCGCTTTTGGATCAAAATCGACAGTCCACTTCAGAATTTTCATAAAACGATTGTCGATTTTGATAAATTTTCGAGAAAAAATGCGAGTGTAATCGGCACCGTGAGATAGCTGAATAAGTATATGTCGATTGTCTAGTAGACCAATGTTCCAACTGCCCAATTATTTCATAGCATCAAATTCTTTCTTAACGATCTCCAATTTTGGGTGACCATAAAAGAGTTTCCCCACGAGCAAAACGCCAAGAGGACGCTAGAGCATCAGTTTCAACCTCAGTGAGAATAAGTGCAAACTTCCTATTTTTTCTCAAGTTTTTTAGTAAAAGTGTGATAACCGTCACCTTCAAGAGTCTCGTGGTACGATTGTGGAACATTGCAGGACTTATCGATAGCAAAATCAGGCTCTGAATCTAGAGGGGCACGAGCACGAATAGGCAAGTCATCGGCAAGGGCATTTGCATAGGAACGGAGCGTCGAGGTCATCTCCCTTGCACGATGGTGGTCACAGTCAGGAAATAAACGGTCTGACGGGCTGCAAGGAAGCGAGGGCGTCAAATTGTTGGGAAATTGTTGGGCAGCGTTGAACAGAGATGACGTGAGCTAAGGGAGCAGCGAGCGACAGAGGCTGCGAAGCAGGCAGAGGAGTTGTCGGGCGCAGACCAGGGAAGCAGCGTCGAGCAGAGACGACGCGAACTAAGGGAGCTGCGAACGAACAGAAGCTACGATCAAGACACCAAGCAATATTGAGACGACGACGTGAGCAATGGAGCGAAGCTGCGAAAGAGACGCTGACGCAGATATATATATATATATCTTAAAAAATTGTCCGTTTCATTCTCTTAATTGATTTTCAAATGACATTTCTTTTAAAAATTCATACTCTTCTGCGATAAAGCAACACATAAAACAACCTTTTCAGTTTCATTCATCTACTTCTCGATTATTAGGTATTTTCGTATGTAAAATCTTTTGTACCTCTCATATGGTTTAAGATGATTTGGGAGTTAGCTTTTATGCAATGTTGCAATAAGCTATATTACTTTATTATATTTGAATCTAAATTGAAAAAAATGAGATGATAATATTTATATAGAGAAATCATATAATGATTTATGATGGGCTAGTTCACCATGATGGCAAAAGAATAGCATGCATCTCTAGGATGTACACGATTTGGCCATACAAATCTAACTAAATTGAAAATAAATGCCTTCTAAGTCTCATTTGGGAGAAAAAGGTATGCATGGAAGTATTTTTTCTCATATAATTTTATTATACGAAACAAAATGGCTAGGAAGAAAAAATTTGAATTATGTTCTATCTTTGCTGCTTTATTTGATTGCTTCATAGAGTAAACATTATCTTTTTTTCTTATCTGTGTTGCTTAATGCACTCTAGAAATGATAGGGTTTGATATATTAAATTTTTTTGTATGACATCTCGTTATTTATTTAATGGAATTGCAACTTCTTGAATTTTGGTTGTCATTTTTGTTACAAGTTTTTGATAAAATTTTATTCCCTTAGTGTGATAATTTGCAAATTTTTTAAAGTGTACTTGTTTAGCCTCCATTTACACACAAGTTTCTTAGATTTTTGGTTGTTATTAGATTATTTGGTTATGATTGTAAAATTTAAAAAATTGAACCGATCAAATTATTTTCCAAACCAAATTTTAGTTTGATAAGTTTGTTTCAAATTTGGATGACCTAAAATTTAATTAGTTTTAATAATAAATCTAATTTGTTTTAACTAAACTAATATGTGATATCTTAGTTAAAATTTATAATTTTGACATGTTGGATAAATAATATCAATGTTTATTTTTCTATCACTTGTTTTTAAGTTCATTGGCTTTATTGATTTAATATTTAATGAAACTAGTATAATTTAATTTTTAGTTTGATCAATTTTACAAATAATAATAAAAAAAATCAAATTAATAGCCAAGAACTGAATAAAGTCAAATTACAACCAATAATTAAACCGATACTTCAACAATCAAACTAAATAAACCAAATAAGATGGATTCTTTTTTATTTTTTGGCTTCTCCGATCAACGTGCTTCCCTAGTTGTTATGTTTAAGAAAGATGCAGTTTAATTTCCACATATCTTTTGCTAATATGATCAAGAAAATGGTCATATATTTTGAATAAAACTTGAATCATCTTCTCAAGTTTCATCCCATTATACTTTTGACTTTTAGCTTATATTCTTTTTCTCTAGGGGCATTTGCACAAGTACCATCCAATTGCTATGTATATACATATTTAACACCTAAATTTTACTTTTTTACATTTGTAGCAACTTAATATTTCATATCTTATAAAAAAAACGCTACTATTTTTACTTTTAAAATATTGAATGCATCTTTTAATGCATAGGTAAGCTGGTATATATATAAAAATTGAAGTTTAGTTAATTGAGTGGTATGTATGCAGATCTTTTTTTATTATTATTCCCATTTGCTTTACGAATCTCAGAAATCCTAACATTGCTGTTATCTCAGTGCGTGGAAGAACAAGGAGTCTTGGGAACGGGAATGTGCTGTCAGAGCAGCTGCAGCTTCCATCTACTCCACAAGCAATCTGATAATGACTGCGAGATAAAACTCTTTTTTCTTCTATCTAACTTTTTTTTTTTTTTTTCAACTTCCTTGACTGAGGATCCTACTTTAACTTTTGGTCCTCTTGTCCCATTTCTTACTACATTTTTATTTTGACTGCTTTTTCATATCACCTGTATTAGTATGCCTTCTCTAACCAAATTGATCGTTAATCTGTATCCAAACTATCTAGGACTGTCTTCCTGTATTTCATAATTTAAACTAAGTTAATCATCATGACTTGCTTTGTATTTTCTCCTCTATTATCCATGCAATTTATTTCAGATTTTTTGAATAATTTGTAGACTTTATACATTCTTGTGACATCATATTTGCATGATTGTAGTGACAACTGCTAAGTGCTACAGAAATCATTCTATTATTGAGGCAGAAGATGGCAAACTATATATGCCAGCGTAGTCTGATGTTCCAAAAAACCACATTTTTCATGTTCGGTTTGATGATTTGCTCATATTCACTTTGTTTTTTACTAGCCAAGCATGCAAATAATTTGTTTTGATTGTGTTTGGCTTAGTAATAGCTGCCTTATATTGAATTTAATTGTGATTAGAAGTTTTTTTTTTTTTTTTTTAAAAAAATTTAAAGCATCCTTTGAGGTGCAGCTGAATGATTTTTTTAAATTTAAAGCATCCTTTGAGGTGCAGCTGAATGACTTCAAATGCAATATCAGTTTTGTTTGTTTGCTACGGAGTCAAACTTTTAGTTACACAAATGTCTTTATCCTTTGGTCTGTGTTGATTCACATCCTGGTTTCTTATGTTTTGGGATAAATAGATTAGTTTGGTGGCCAAATTTATCATCGAAGGCAAATAGATTTGTGGTGCTTTCGTGTGGATTCTTTCTTCACGAGTTGGTATTGAGTTGTTGCCAAATCAAACACAGACAAAAGTTTGGTTGAGAAATTGAAGTTAATCAGCTCAAGTAATAGATTCTTCTTTCTTGTTCATATCAATATATCATGGGCTGTAGGGGTGTAAACGGGCTGAGTTTGAGTGGCTCGGCTCTTTAAAAAGTCTCACAATTTGTGTTCCGCTCATTTATATATTGAGCTCAAAAATTTTGTTCATATTCGGTCCGTTTGCTTAACGAGTCGAATGTGAGTCGTTCACGAACAACGAGCTGCTTTGACAGCCATAGTATTGTAGCCTTAGGATGTAAGTGTAGAGACAATATTTAAATATTATTAATTATATTAAAATATTTTTATTCTGTTTTTTAAATGAATAGTTTTAGTTGATTGTAAATCTTTGTAGTCTTGTAGTCAATTTAATTATCTAGAGTCAAAACTAGTGGAATACAATGAACAAAAAAAATTGTGTTCCTAAAGAAAGAAGCATTGGAGCCATTCCAAATTTTAATCACCAAAAAATCATTCCAATAAATTTCAAAAAAAAAAAAAAACAACAATAAAAGCCTTATTACATTTTTAAATAAAATGTAAGGCCAATGGCCGTAGGTTCACAAAGTCAATGGAAATGGTGATGATGATGGTGGTGGAGCCCATAATTTTCGAGGCCAAAACATCTCAAGACGGGGAAGCAGGCCTCATACATACCCCTTCCAATGCCTCTAAGGATAGAGAAAAAGGGAAAGCAGGAGCAGCACAAGCATTCCAAGAAAGGATCATCATATGGGCTATCATGGTCATTATGATGATGATGATGATGCTGACCCATGATTCCTGAAATAAATTTGACAATAAAAGTTTTAGACAGTTTACTATTAGACTTATGATTGATGATATTTATTAATAACACTTCTTAAAAGAACATCAACCAAATCTAACCAATAAATGTTAAGATAATTCGATGATAATAATAAAAAAAGAAGCAAAGAGTGAAGGATTATGATCATATTTCGGCCATCCTCAATGGCCTCTGGGAACTTCCAACACCGCTTATCCCATTATCTTCATCTCTAAGGGGAGTAAATGTTGATAATCTTCAATGATCTTCCTGACCTTTGAACACCATTCTATCCAATGCCTAAAGGTCATGTCACTGCACCTCTCGGAGAAGAATTGTCTGAATACTCGATTTCTTACATCCCAACATCAATGATAGCATCAACAATCTAGTTTTACTTACGTTGTATTGACTCCTTTTATTAGTGTTTTGCAAAGGTCGTTTTTTTGTAATTCATATCTATTATTATTGAGTACTATTTCTTAGCACTAGCTAGGCATCATGATCTCTCTCATTCTCAATTCTCAATCTAAAAATCTTGCATCCCTTTCCCAGCCAATTTCTGTGCTTGTATATGGAGTGTCATTTGTAGCTAAAGCAATCATACTCTTTCTCTCTGTGTCTACAAAATTGAATATTCTAAACAACATTACATTATTTAAATTGCATTAGATAAATATAATTGTTATTTAAATAATACTGCTAATTAGACAAATCTGCTATTACTATTCATATAATGTTGAACAAACAGCCAATCAAGTGTCAAATCTAATCAGAGAAAATTTGATTCTGGATTGGATTCTATCTTAAAACCCGAAAGGGATACGATTACAAAAAAAAAAACGGCAGGTTTAGCATGGAGTTCTTACTTCTTCCTTAATTAAGTAGCCCATATCATAGATAGTAATAATCCGACCGTTTTTTCATAAACAAATCCCAACTTTTTAAAATAGTCGTGGGGAGAGCGAGGAAGATTAGTCATCCATACCGGGAGAAGTAACCAATATCATAAAAAAATAAAAATGAAATCATCCATACCTTAATCTGCTTTGAAATAGCAGGTCGAAATGCCAAATCCCAAGCAGCAAATAACTTCAATGGCAAAAAGGCTCCTCGATGCAATATCACAATACAAATTTGAAGACGAAGGAGAAGGCAAATGTGATTAGGGCTTTAAATGGAAAAGAGAGGAGATTCTCAGAAGAATTCTAACCGAGGAGAAGGAAAGAAAAACAGAAGGTTATAATTCGAGGAAGAGAAACAGAAGATTATAATGTGAATCCTAGAGAAAACGCCTTCTCTATGCATTAGGTGTAAGTGGAGCGGATCAGGTTTATTGCATCAAACAGCAAGCAGCTATTGATAAACCAAAATATTTGCGCATCTTTTTCCAACTTTTTAAAGTGAGCCGGCTCAGGTTGGTTCCATAAGTGACATGAGTTGAGTGACTCATGAGTTGAGCTTGATGACCTAAAACCATAGCTCAAGCCAGCGCTGACTCGAATCTTTAGCTCATGCAAAGCTCGTTTAAAAAAAATTAATATATAATATATTCAAAATATTAAATTATAAGATTTTTATCTTTAAATTATTAAAATATTGAAAAAATGATATAAATTTTACATGAAATAAATTTTTTTTTAATTTATTTCTTTTATGCTCATTTCATTTGTTATTTTATTTATCACTAGCCCAAATTAATATTATTTTTTCTTTGTTAGAATAAGCAAGTTGGCTCATGAGTGGACTCGAACTTGTAGACTTAAGCTCGAGGTTGAGCTCGTATAATATTAATTAATCAAGCTTAAGCTCAAATGAAGGGTGATTCGAGCTTGACTCAACTCCTTTACAACATTACGTGTGACGCTTGCCATGCGACCACAATGCTTGGACGATTACATAAAATAACACAGACCACCCAATTCTTATGTACTAAACTTTAATTTTACATTTTTGTCATCTTATTTATACATAAAAATGAGCATTTCAGTTTTTTAAAGTTAAAATTATAGTATTTTTTATGTAAGATAAACTTTTGGGAGGTATAAATATATAAAAAGAGGTGTTAGACATGTAAATACATAAAATTTGAGCTGTATTTATGTAAATACCTGTATATACTCAACTAGTCTGTAATCCTTGGCTACCACAGGAGAAATTATTGCATACGGGCAACCCACTCATCCCCCCGCATCTCTGCATGCGGTGTCCGATCCTGACCGTAGATCACTGTGATCTACGGTCAGGATTATTTCAGTTTTTTTTTAAAAAAAAATTTAGGTGGAGCCCACAGAAATACATCCTGACCGTACGATCAGGATCGTGCAATGTCCGATCTGTATGGAATATTTTTCCTGCTACAGAGGAGTTTATCCAACCAACATCCCATAATATCAAACAACACGAGCAGTATCGTCTTTTTCAAGAGAAATTCACTTTAATAGATAGAAATTAACTCACTTCTGGCCACAATTTTTTAGGAATCATTGTCGCTAAATAATTTTGTATAAAAAAAATCAGTGTAAATCAGCCGAGGTTGAGCAAGCCTATGGTTTGTTCGTGTTCGGCTCGTTAAGAAATACGATTGTTCATGTTCGACTCGTTTATATTTCACACTCAAAAAATCTATTCGTGTTAAGTTTGTTTGTTTAGCGAGCCGAACACGAGCTGTTCGCAAGTAACGAGCTATTCTAATAACCCTAATCACACAATTATAGGATGTTAGAAGTAAGGGCGAGATTTAAAATTTAAAATTTATATTAAAATATTCATTAAAATATAATTATGTATTTATTCCATTTTTAAATTAATAATTCTAATTAATGATAAATCTCTGTAGCCTTGTTGTATATTTAAATTATTTAAAAATAATACTAATCAATATTATATATAATCTAATTATTTCGAGTTAAAATGAGTCAAACACAAACGAATAAAATTTTATTTATGTTTGGCTAATTTACATATTGAGTGTTATATGTAATATACAGGAAAAAATTGAGCATTTCGAGCAAAACTAATGTAGCAGCAAAAGAAATTCAACAAAAATCCTATGAGCACGGAAAGCCGGATCCAGAAGCTAGTGCTCTATTGTTTGGGAACAACGCCCAAGCACCAGACCTTAATAGTGTCGTGGTACCCAAACCTGTAAAATGAAGCCTCATGGTCAGGAAAGGCAGCGCTCGAGCTCATCGCCCCAACATCCAACCTCACTGCCCAGACACGATCCACATAGTGCCCTTTATGAACGTGAGGCAGTTATGCAATTCGAGCCCTGGTTCGACGAAGGAAAGCCTACAAACTCCTAATTCGTGATAGGGGAAGCCCCCAAACATTAGATAGGAAAGTTTGATTTCTAGAGGGAGTTCGAACATCGCTTAAAACATTAGATAGTGCTTGTGGAGTGTGTGAGAGTTTGAGATACACTTGATTTTGGTGTGATAGTGAGTGTTTGAGTGAGTATAATTGATGTTGATTGAGAAGATTGAGAGGAATTGAAATGAAAAAACTTGGTGTAGAAGGAGATTGGTTTAAAGCAGGATGAAATTGGATCCAGGTTTTTCTTCTCTTTAATTTTCATAAATTTTAATTATCTATCAATGAAACTTCTTATGTTTTCTGTTTTAATGTCTAGAAGCCAAGTTTTTTTTTTATTATTTTACTTAGATTAATTTTGTGAAATAATTGTTCTATCCATGTAATTAATGCAGAGCAATTTGTAACATGTTGATGTGTTAACTTTTTATGCTTTATTTACTTTCTGGTTGGCCATTAGAAATGTTAAAATTGAGTATGATCTGAGACTATTGACCAATATACGAGAAGAACTATGATAACATATAAATTCTTGGTGGAATATGAATATTGTCATTAGGACTTTGTAATCAAATAGGGCAATGAAGAATTCTAGGAGTCCTTGTAGGGTTAAGGAAACTTAACCATAATAATAGGCTCAAATAGGGCAAGGAGTAGTTGTCCTTGGTCATCAACTATAGCAGGAAAGAATTTGATGGATGAATAATTGAAATTTCACAATATTTTGTTCAGGAAAGACTTTTTATCGAGAGAAAAAACACTGAATTGAGTAGGATTTCTTTTCATAAATTAGGACTTCTAAAATAATTTAGACTAAACCTAGATTTATTAAACTAGTAATTGGAGTTCCTTGAAAATTAACTCAATCATTTCGGGAATGATACACTGACAAATAATATGTATATTACTTGATCTATACATATATTTGCATAATAATGAGTGCTTCACCACACATCGAGTTAAGTTTTTTGTTCTATTATCAGGGAACAATATTAATTAGTCAATTTAGGTTTAATGGTAGTTCAAAATTTAAAATTTAGGTTCTAAAATCATACTATTACATGGTATTTTATTTTATTTTATTTTAAAACTCATTATTACTTGTGTTTGATTATGAAGCAATTATTGCAATTTCTTGTTCAAAAAATCCCAAAATTATTTAAAAGTGTGTATTAGTTTTTTTGTTGGTTTTATGTTTAATGCGCTTCTTTTTTTTTTATTTCAATATTTTTATTTTGTGACTTACATTGTATTTTAGTTCAGTGTCACTAGTAAGTCTTAGGCTGTATGCTTAAAACATATTATGCTGAACTAGTGTCATTTGACCATTAAATTAAGAAAACTATTGAAAAAGTAAGAAAACTTACAAAACTAAGAAAAAAAAACTTCATGAGAAATGACAAACGCTTAGGTAGAAAAAACTCAACTTAAAATAAGGGGCAGAACCAACCTCTTTTTTTAGGAAGGGGGTGGGGGGTAGGGGTGAGGGTGGGAGCAAATTGTCCCCCTCGATCCCGCATGGGAGGGGCTAGGACAACCAATGCCAAAGTAATATTTCAAGAGGAGCAAAACTGATATTTCAGTAGAGGCAAAAGGCCAGATTGCCCTTCCAGATAATTAAAAATCTAAATTTGAGGGAGGGGAGGGGGAAGCAATTGCCCCCTAGACCCTATCTAAGTCC